CAAGTTTCATCTTTTTAATATGTCCCAAAGTATGTTTACAGTGTTTGGAGAAATAAGGTTTCTCATATATCTTTCCATGGTGACGGTTCTTTTGCGGTTCAGTATATGATGAATTTGAAAATGGCAATTGTGAAGGCTAATGAATTCGTCTCTGAGCCAGATAGGCAAAAAGGTTCGGCAGTCAAAGAAATGGGGGATGATACTAATGACTGTGGAATTCGATAGGCAAAAGGGACACTTTGCTTCATAGGTGGTGTTTGTCGAAGGATGTTGATCATGAGTTTTTTTAAATTACAGCAGGTGATTTTGTGAAACATTTCAAGCAGTGTTCCACAGAGATTTCGTCAACAAGTTTGACTCACGATATTCCTATGGAGGGTCATTTCAGTGTATAACAAAACTTGTAATAAAATTTTAGCTAATTTCTTCTGACCTAGTTTGCGTGAGGGTGTGTCAGTGTTGCCATAAAGCAAACAACTCCCAACATATATTTCAACTAATATTGAAAAGGCAGAAAGACTGAAAAATATCTTCACTCCATATAAAATATTTATGATACAAGAACAACTATGACCTATTTCACATTTTGTACGAAATGAACGAAATGGCAATATCAAGAAAAGAAATTGATATGACAGAAAAAAATGTTGGCCTCCAAAGACAAAATATGTCATAAATTATTATGAAAAGCTTGAGACTCTATCAGCGAAGCATTGTGTTTACTGTTCAAAATATCACTGCAATAAAGTAAATTTCCATCAGTGTGGAAAAAGCAACGTAATGCCATCACACTATTGTTTCTAATTATCGACCGATGTCACACATAAGTTGTTTAGGAGAATTGTTTGAGAGAGTTCTGTTCCAACATTTATATAATTACTTTCATGAGAATAACTTGTATAAATACCAATCGGGGGACCCGGGAAGATCCGGTTTAAAATAGGTCTTCAGCAACCAATTGGAGAAAATGCTTGACGCAAGAGGCGATCAAGGGGATCAGGTGGTCAGACTCGCTGACTTAGTTTATGCAAGTCATCGTTTCCCAGTTGTGTGGATCGATGCTCATGATGCACAGAATTGTATGGTCGTCATACAGCTGGAATAGTGTTGAGTGCGGCGTTAAACAACAAACAAAACAAAGCAATCGGGATTTCAAGCTTGTCGCTCAACTGTTCACTAACTACAAGGACTTTATCATCAAATTTGTAAAACGTTAGATAACAAAGAAAACTATTGTACTGTATTTGTAAATGGTAACATATCCATACCAAGATATAAATGTTTTTTGTCATATAGAAAAAACAACTTCTGAGATAATTTACTCAATGAAAACCTCACACATCTACTTCACGGAAATACAATTAACCGGTCCAACAATTTCAAGCCCGGGAGCGTCCGAGGGAAACTCACTAATAAAGCAATATTTATATAATTGTGTTCTTGTATTAATTTTAAAAAAGCGTCAGTAATGTTCATTTCTTTTTTTACTATAATCGTGTGTATTTTACATCAGTCTCCCAACTGTTAACACAATTCATAATTTATTTATTTACTCATTTCCTACGCTCCTGGGCTCTAGCTCGAGATATTTATGCAAAGCATTGAGGCAAGAAGTAGGCATTCCCACCGGCTCCGATTGCGCTCTCCTTTTTGCTGATCTGTTTCCCTATGCATATGAATCTGAATTTCTGTCGGAATTGGCAAAGTCTCCAGCAACCCATGCCTGCTGCAAAAGGTGACTATTCTTGGTATAAGAGGCGACTAACGGGATCGGGTGGTCAGGCTCACTGACTTGGTTGATGCATGTCATCGTGTCCCAATTGCGTGGATCGATGCTCAATCACTGAATTGTCTGGTCCAGACTTGACAAACAAAACTATATGTCGAGCAATGTTCCAGCAGCTTGGTGTCAACATTTCACAACTTTTGAGGTACAAACAAGCATGCTCTTTCTACCGAGTCTTCAAAGAGCGTGATACAACTCTTACACAGTTGTTCCAAGGTTACACCATTCAAGGCCAAATTAAAGCCTTTAAAACGTTCTTATGGTAGATATTTGGAGGACATTTCCAAATTTGAACATCAGTAATAACAATTATGTCCGATGCAATTCCCTATTTTGACTTGCACCATAATGTTCCTGTGTGTTTTTTGGTGAACACATGACTTGCCTTTGAGTGTGTTTGTGATGGGTGACACCAGTTGGGCAGGATACAGTCGGCTTTTTCGCAAAGACCTGGTCTCATCACTATTCGATAGTGATTCATAAACACATGCTGGAGACATAGTCAGAACCATGCAATCGAGATTTCTGATGAATATTGAAAGGGTTTTGTTCCTAACTTTGTTTTTTCTTCAAATGTTATACTAATATGGTTCCGTCCTATCTCACAGATATTCTACCAGAAAACTGACAGAATTTCAGAAACTCAGAAAACATTAGTGTTCCTCCCACAAAATTAAGACATTTAGCACTGGCATTAGGGTTTTGTGTTGTTACCCATCCCGTCAACCTTTTAAGGCCATGCAGATATCATGGTCCTTATGTAATTGCTAAGAAAGTCCATGAAAGTGATATAATTGTACAAACTTCTGACTGTTGAAAACAAAAATTGTTGCATCACTTAAATATGACCATACAACATTATCACTGGTTTGAGCATGTAAAACAGGAAGTTATTGCTACTGTTTTCCCTGTATCAGATGAATGCAGTTAAGAGTTTACAAGCGTTCATGTTAAGTTTGATGATTTGGTTGAGAAGGATAGCCCTAGGCTTAAGAATTCTGTGGTGATAAACATGATCTTTATGAGAAGTTAGCTCATCACACTCCGGAACAACAGCAACACCATTTGTTTCCAAATGTACCTGGTTGTACCACTTAGTCATGACATAGATGAAGATGAAGCATTTCCTGTAAAACAGCATCCTTATAGATGAACCGATTTGGAGCATCTCTGGAAAGAAGGCAATTACATGCTGGAGAATGACATCATCAAACCAGTGGCAGTAAGTGGAGCTCACTGTGCTTAATGGTCCCCAAGCCTGACAATACCCACCGACAATGTTGTTCCCACCTGAAGCCAGTGAGCTCACTGTCCAAAAAGGACTCATACACCATACACAGAATTGATTGCAGTATTGACAGAACTGGTCAAGCAAAGTTTGTCAGCAAGTCTGACCTTTTAATGAAGTATTATCAGGTTCCAATTACAAACATGCAAAAATTTCACCTTTGGCTACCACAGATGACGTCAGTGCAAAGTTATGACATCTGGGCTAAAAAAATGTGCATTCTTCCTTTCAACACCTCAGCAATGATGTTAATTCAGTCCTCCAAGGTACAGAGACTTTTTTCGAAGACATTAGGAGAAATTCTATAAACTGGGACGATCATTTGAAGAGGATCCTTACCTTCTTTGAGGGACTATCACAGGCACAATTGACTGCAAATCTGTCCAAGTGTAAATTTCTCAGACACATGTTGTGTCAGTCAGTCAAGGTCAAGTACAACCGGTCAATACAAAATTAAAGGCTATTGCAAATTTTATTGATTGATTGTATCAGTGCAGTTTCGCTAATAATTGCATGTACATGTATCAAGTAAACATGTCTTTTATGTTCACGTAACATATTTATAGAATCTCTTATAAACTCTTATCCCCCAAACAATCCAATTTTAAGAACATTTTGACTATGTTCATTTATTCTAGATACAGCTAATATTTGGAACTCACTACCTATTGAATACACCAATGCCAGTAGTTTAGGAAGTTTTAAAAGTTTTATAAAAAGCAAAGATAGGAATGGTATATACTTTGATGTAAATTATGGATCAAGATTCAGTCAGGTTATAACACTACCGTCTCAGGCTTGGCTGCAGCGATCTTAACACCGATAAATTTGCCAGATTTACATCCGACAGCCCGAGATGTTTTAGTGGCTATCACATGGAACATGTACTTCATGTCTTCTTACGTGTCCCAGTTCATTAAGGCAAAATATGTATTATTTCGTAAAAGGCTATAATATATATCAAAATTTAAAAGATAATTCACATTTAACGACTGTAACAAATCTTGAAATTTTGAAATCAGTGCACAGTTATATTCTATCTTCTTGCCGATTGAGAGATTTTGTCTGACATGTTGGCTTTCCTATATGATACCGCAATGTTGTTGTGCTGGATGTAAATAATAACTTGGCTGTAGTTGCGAAAGACAATCCAGTAATAAAACACTTACAGGACAATAATTATCTTTCGATGCATTGTAATTTGTATGTGTATCATGTTTTTGAGAGGCATTCAGGTAAGCAAAATTTGCTTGTTGGCCAATCCCTCCACTTTATGGAAATAAATATGTTTATATAAAACTTTCTTCTCTTTAAAGACGACCGTGTAATGAGGCAGTAGATCTTTACAGGCTATTTCTGATGAATGTTAGTGGCAGCTAATTGTGGCAGCGTTCGTAAAATGTCAAGCACCGTTGTTACCAAATTATTTTGCAGTATGCTACAACCAAAAATTAGGAGTTACTTCCCTACCTCACTACTTTGACAATCTCTGATTCGAGGTGCTTCACAAAGTAACAGTTTCTAAAAGGCTGGCTGTACCTATGTAAGAGCGAGACGAGGCTATTCGAGGCCATCTTCAACCTGACTCATGACTTAGCGACTTGCCCAGTGAGTTCAAGGCACTGGCCACACATTCAACTGTGACAAATTCTGGACATTCGTGATTGCACTGACTTAAGTGGAAGGGCCTGTTGTTTATTGCTGCTGACACATATTTGAGCTATTTTATCGTTATATCATCTTAATTATTTAACGAATGTGTGGTTATTTACTTATTCAATAATTTAATTCTGTCTGTACCGGTTTCTGGATTAAGGTTTGTGTTTTAACATGGGAAGAATGTAAGAATACTTGATACAGTAAGCAACTGTCTCAAAGTGAATTATCACAATACACGGAGCATACAAACAACTGACATGGAAATCATTCATTTTAGTTTCATTTAATACCAATTGCTTCAGTTATTTGGGAGGAGACAAAATATGAAAAGCACACATGAACAAATGACATGAAACGTGAGCTGTTAATTCTCCACAAAATTAATCATTTCCCTTAATATCAAAATATTTGCAATAATTATATTCAATAGTTGCATCAATTGTGTCATGAACAGGACATACATTTAGTGTTGATCACCCACTGTGTTGCAACCTCCAGCAACATCCCCCTGCTGGTGGACAGGAACCATGTCATCATGCATGGCCTTCCTCCTGTGGCTGGATCTGGTTGTGCTTACAAGCGTGTACTCTCCACTGGTGCCCATGGACTGTGAATTAGCAGTTGACGCTGGCACTTTCACTATGTTGTTGTATCAGGCTGAAGGAGCATTGACTTCAGGCTTTCCGTGGCACAGTCCACTGGAAGAACACCATCATTGTCTCTTATGTTAACGTCAGCACCATGTGACAACAACAGAGACGTTACATCAACATGCTCACAGCTCACAGCTGAAACATAAAAGTTCAAATAGCCTCTATTATCACTTGCCCGTGAAGAGATCACCCGTTTAATAAACATACAGCTGTATTACACATTCTGTAATACCAAAACGCGTGCTTATGTACTCTTGGAACACGTTTCATGAACAAATATTGAAAGCTCTGAACATCCCTTGGCTTATTCAACGACATTGCGTGTGGAGATGATAGATCACTGAGAGGAGCTTATGCACACTCGATGACCCCAGCAACCTTGTTGCTAGGCTGACATCACATGGCATTGTTTCGCCAAAGGATCTTGCAACAAAATTCCACAAATTACGTCATTGGGTATTGTGACATGATTGTAAACTTTGAGGTGCAAGGCCCCGTTCCAAAAGGCGATCGTATGGTAGCACAATGACAGTCGTTGATCTAGGTTAAAGTATGTGAGTTGCGATAACCTTAACGCTACAATAATTTTGTGGAACGGACACCTGAATTCTAAAGGTGGACCGTTGTATGGTATTAAATTAATACGTTTTAACTTTTGACGTGTTTGAAGTATTACTGTGTTAAACTCAATTGGATTATGCCGTGTATCGTGTAGGTGTCAGCCTATTCACACTCAACAGTATAATTCTAAAAACGTTATAAATGGCCAGTAATAAATAAAATACTAAACTCGCTCCCGTGTAAAACCAATTTTATGAAACTTGTGAATAGTTGTGGTATCTGACTCGCTTTCACTCATCAGATACCAGAACTATTCACTCGTTTCATAAAATTGGTATTACACGGGAGCTCGTTTAGTATTCTATATTTATCACACTCAGAGGGCCAATAAAGCAAATGAGTCTGCAGCTCACAAGTCAACAACTTGACTTATTACCAAAGTTGTTATGAATATAGTTATTAAAAGAAAAACGCAAAATTGAAGACTAATGGACAATTGAGTGAGTATTGTTTTACGCCCCTTTTAGCAATATTCCAGCAATGTCACGGCGGGGGACCACAGAAATGGGCTTCACACATTGGTCCAATGTCTTCGGTGTGACAAGCGAACGCTTTAACCATTAGGCTACCCGACCGGCCCACTAATGGTCAAAAATTAACAATTAAGAGAGAAAGTTACTGTGTTTTAGCATACAGTAGGGTTACCTGATAATTAAATAGAACTGGAAACATGACAATAAACATGAGGTTTCAAATATTTAGCACAAAACCTAGCTCTACATTGAAAACACAGAATGTTTATCTCAATATTACCATGACAAATTAAAACGTGAACTCTAGTCCCTGTGAGTAAAGGAAACACAAAGTATGGCACTGCATATGCTCCAATTGTTTGTTTATTATACCATTACACTTTACTTGCACAGATGATAGGCACTGAAAGCCTTCAGCACAAGCACTTCATGAGCAGACATAAAGCTGTCCCCTCGAAGGAACATGAAGCAAGCCATGTAACCATGTACCCGGTACATAACTATCATGGTGACTCACTGCTCACTGTGACATAAAGATATGATATACAAAAGTTCCTTAGGTGTAGAAGGTGAAGCCGAGGCCAGGTCCTCCCCCTTCTGAATTTCAGGTAAATTGATCATAAGAGGGGGAAGGCTCACCCTAGGCGAGGTCTCCCCACCTCTGAATTTCATATATACCGTACTGTACATAAGCCCAAGCAAATTTGCTTTTTAGTTCTTTGGACTCCTCGATCCAAGTTAAAGTGAGAGAAAACTTACTTAAATTTCCACAGGCCTTAAAAGGAGGGAATAACTATTATGAGGAGCAAGCAAATCTGGTTATTAAATAAAATATATCATATTATAAAAAAGGGAGCAAAATATAAAAGTAATGGCCAAGGACTGAATTAACACGTCAGGTTGATAAAGTTCAGGCTATTAGTCAAATCCTTCCCTAATGTTGTACATTACCCAGCCTAAATCTTAGCATTATTAATCTTTTACATACATGTATGATGGGAAAGCAATCGTAGCACTACGACTATTGTAAGCCTATGTTAAAGTATGAGAGTTACAATCATCTTAGCAAGTGGTCCCAGAAGATCCCCCACATTACCTCATATCATATATTTTAATAACATACATAGTGATATAACAATAGCCTGACTATTTGAGTCAATAAAAACAGTATAGTATGATTATTTCTCAGTTACCATCCCACTTAATACTTCAGATACTTGCAATATTTATTATGAGTGTTAAATCATATTTCAATGCATTTGACGTGTTTGAAGGAAACACATTTCATCCCAACTGTTTCATCTTCCATATATCTATTTTGACCAATAGCGATCTGGTAATTCAGTCAGATACAAGGAGGAAAGTGTTGATTTGCATTCAATTTGTTGAGAATGTTAACGGTATTAAAGGGCAAGTCAAGTCAACAAAGCAACATTGCAGATTTTAATGATTTAGGGCATACATAATCACCAATGCTTTACCAACCTTAACTTAAGACAAGTAGTTGGTGAATATCTCGCAAAGTATAATGACACAACTAATTGGTGAACTCTATTCACATACACTGTACTGTGTGTAAACGTTTAAAATATACTGAACAACAAAAATTCCTGTGACACAAATATTTTAGTGTATTTTACAAACAAGTAAAGTTTGGCTTTCAATATTGTAGTACATGTATGGAATTAAGTCACAAAAACGCAACTGCTACAGAAAAGCATGCATTTCATGCAAAGTTGACTTTTATGCAAGCCCCATGCATTTCACTACCTAGGATTGGGTATAAAAACATGTTTGTTAACGGGCTTCCATATGCATTGTTTAGCATCATGCTGACAACAATCACTCAGAAAAAAAACAAAATTACGCAATTATTCAACATTACGAAATGCCACACTTGTCCAAAAATGAGCGTCTGCGGGCCGTTGGTATGCTTGAAGCAGGATCAAGTCAACGTGATGTTGCAAGAAAATTTATGGTCCACAGAAACACCATTTGGTGTTTATGGCAACATTGGCAACAGACGAATGCAGTCAGAGACCATCCTCGGGATGGCAGGCCACGCGTAAACCAATGATCAACAAGACAACTGGATTCCAACAACACACCTACGAAATCGATTCCAGCCAGCAACAGTGACTGCAAGAAGCATCCCTGGTGGCCTTCGACGAATATTTTCACAAACCGTACGTCGTCGCCTCAGATGTGCAGGGATTGTCGCCAGAAGACCCGCCAGACATCCCATTTTGACAGGAAACCATCGTCAAGCACGTCTACAGTGGTGCAGACAGCGTCTACGCTGGACGGCTATGCAGTGGGGACAAGTTCTATTCACTGACGAGTCTCGTTTTACCTCAGCCACAGCGATGGACGGATTCGAGTGTACCAACCTCGAGGTGAATGTTATGTCAATCATTGTGTCATGGAAGAAGATCGGTTTTGGAGCGGCAGTGTTATGGTATGGGGTGGGATTACAGCAAGTTTGATAGTGGTAGAGGAAAATCTCAATGGACAGTGCTACCGCAACGAGATCATCGGCCCTGTTGTTCTACTGTTTTTGCGTCGTCATGGTCCAGGCATGACCTTTTAACATGACAACGCCCGGCCTCATATTGCTCGACTTGTTCAGGATTCTCTTCAACAAAACAACGTGAATGTTATCCACTGGCTGGCTCGCTCCCCTGATCTCTCACCAATCGAGCACATCTTCAGATTTGGTAAAAAACACATCAAGTACCCACACAGTCCTTCCTGCTGTCAAGTACACACACAGTCCTTCCTGCAGTCTAGTACACACACAGTCCTTCCTGCTGTCTAGTACACACACAGTCCTTCCTGCTGTCTAGTACACATATATCATCCTTCCTGCTGTCTAGTACACACACAGTCCTTCCTGCTGTCTAGTACACACAGAGTCCTTCCTGCTGTCTAGTACCCATGTGGCAGAGTAATATTTTGTACATACAAGTTAGGTTTTAATTCTATTTTAGCTATAGTTTTATACACATTCTATTTCATATTTGAATGAAGTAGTACAGAGTTTATTTACCTGTCTTACTTTTGCCATATAATTGTATTTCAGTTTAAACATTAATACCACAGCTTATCTGTTTCATTCAGTCTATTATTTATCCAGCCTTGACTAACCATACCACTGCATGCTTTTCACCCACAGCACTTAGTATCCCACCCCGCGCATAGAGTACTCTATTGTTCTCTGTGGTCACTCACAGCTGACCACAGATATACCTTTGTTTGCTTGTGATCTGAGGCAGTTGCCAGATTACACTTGACATATGTACTCCATAGTCATTTTGTATATATTTTGAATGGATCTTGTATTCATGGATCGAATAGATGTGATTATTTCATGGATTTGAAGATGTAACTGGCACTCTCTTAGAAGCTTTGGTGACACGGCACAGGTTTCACCAGTCTGGCCGTATTTATTCACCATTCTCTTCTAAGAGAATAAACAGCCATCAGCTCACACCCTGTAGCCGTTTGTTGTGTTTACCACCCCGACAACTACCGCTACTGCATTGGAGCCCCCAGTGAGGATTTGATGGGACCATGAGGAAACTGATGTACACATGAGACCAACCACGGCGTTATGTGACGTCACACTTAAGGATCGATCCGCCATTATGACATCATGTGATCTGCGATGTGTGTTGACACAAGACCGGTAGATATGTGATTACATGTGACTTGAGTATTGATGAGACATTGAACATTATTATTGTTGTAATCATATATACTCTTACTCAACGTTGAGCATTTCTGAATTGATCATGATCATGACACTCTACGCTTGTGATAATTGTGACACTTAGTGTGTATATTAACCTGGATCCAGCAGAGAAAATAATTGACAATTTATCATCATAAACATTTTTTACACACAGCCGAGTTGAACTGACAACTGCGAGTGTGTGAAATTGTGTAATCACAGAAGGCAACTTCTGGATATTGCTACACTTGTCTCTTGTGAATAGCATGTCGTATTTCTGTATTCTTTTGTATACCATAGTGATGGCA